TGAATTCCTGAGAGGAGACGAAATCCAGGTCTCCTACTCCTCCGCCATCTTGCTCCGCCCCCCTCTCAATTCAGTTTCAAGTCAGTGAATATTTATTCACTGTCTATGTTGTGTTCGATACCATATAACCTTACGTTTTGGGGAAGCAAAGAAAAATAACACATGCCTCATAATGTAGTAAGACTTGGAACAGTTAAATGAAAGGGACAGTATGTATTTCGTAGCAAACTTCCAAATAAAATACGGTCTTACCCAACATCCGGATGCAGATTAGATAAATTGAAAGTTTTCTGTTTCAAAGTTACTAATGAATCTTTTTTTTCTTTTTTGCCATTTTATTTTATTTATTTATTTATTTTAATTACTAATGAATTTCTAAGAAACATTCTGATCACTTCTGGACAAAAAAAAAAACAACTAAAAGTTAAAAACCTTTATTTTTTACATAGCATTTCCTATGCCTTCCGCATCTATCCTTTTGTGTTCAGTGTGCACTTACATAGATGCAGCATTTCCATCTCCTACTTCCAACAGTTGAGTAGCATCATTCAACCTAGTTTTCCTCTGGCAAAGTTTAGTTCTTTACCATACTGTGTTCAATTGCTTTAAAAAATAATATGAAATATTTAAGGTATACAAAAAGTCACTTATTTTTTTTTTTTAAAGATTTTATTTATTCATTTGAGACACAGAGATACAGGGAGATAGAGAGAGAGAGCATGAGCAGGGAGAGAGGCAGAGGGAGAGGGAGAAGCAGGCTCTCTGCTGAGCTGGGAGCCCCATGTGGGGCTCGATCCCAGCACCCTGGGATCATGACCTGAGCCTAAGGCAGAAGCTTAACCATCTGAGCCACCCAGGCGACCCAGTCACTTATTTTAATAATAGAAAATGCTTTGATAGGAGAGTAGGAATCAATGCACACTGAAGAGCTTATAAAAAGTTTAATGGTGGATGCCTGGCTGGCTCAGGTGGTAGAGCATGTAACTCTTGATCTTGGGATTGTAAGTTCAAGCCCCACATTGGACGTACAGGTTACTTAAAAATAAAAAAAAAATTTTTTAAGTTTAATGGGTAAAAAAAGTAAACATTAGTGTTCATATTCATTCACTGATGTCTGTTTAATAGTTTGGGTGTTATAATTATAAAACAAATATGTTTCTTGATAAATAACCAAATATTTGTTACCGTAAGAATACTGAAAAATAATTACAATCCAACATTTTTTTTTTTTTAAAGATTTTATTTATTTATTTGACAGAGAGAGACACAGCGAGAGAGGGAACACAAGCAGGGGGAGTGGGAGAGGGAGAAGCAGGCCTCCTGCCGAGCAGGGAGCCTGATGTGGGGCTTGATCCCAGGACTCTGGGATCATGACCTGAGCCGAAGGCAGACGCTTAACGACTGAGCCACCCAGGGGCCCCCCAACATTATTTATTGAAGGGAGCTTCAAGGCAATAAGTCCAGCAATAATAATAAAATTATAGCAAATAGTCTTGTGGTAAATTACAGAAAACAATGGCTTACATTTATTGGGTATTTACAGGCATTATTTCATTTACTTGCAATGACAGTGCTCTGAAGGAGGTCCTGTTTACTGTTTCCCTTATAAAGGAAAAGTCCCTGAGGTTCAGGGAGGTCAGATAAATTGTCTACAGCAAGAGCCAGCAAACCCGTTCTGTGAGGGATCAAATGGTATATATTTTAGATTGTGTGGGCCATCTGGTCTCAGTCACAGCTGCTCAGCTCTGCCATGCTAGGTCAAAAGCGGTCATAGACAGCATGTGGATGAGTAAGCGTGGCTGTCTTCCAATCAAACTTGATATAGGAACACTGAAATTGAATTTCTTAAAAATTTTTACATGCCATAAGATAGTCTTCTTTTGATATTTTTTCAAATATTTTTTAAAAATGTAAAAACCATTCGGTAGCTGGAGGGCTGTAAAACACAGTGAGCTAGCTTTGGCCCATGGGCTGTATTTGCCAACCCCAGGTCTAATGTAATATAGTCAATGAGTGATAGACTCAGGCTTTGAACCCAATTGTCTGCCTCACTGTAAAGAAAACACATTTCAAGCACTTAAACATTGTATCCTACAGTCTCATCCTGGGAGACCCTCTTTGAAGATTCCCCTGTCAATCAGTCTGTATCAGCGTAACCAATTTTCTTTTTTTTTTTTTTAAAGATTTTATTTATTTATTTGAGACAGAGAATGAGAGAGAGAGAGCACATGAGAGGGGGGAGGGTCAGAGGGAGAAGCAGGCTCCCTGCCGAGCAGGGAGCCCGATGCGGGACTCGATCCAGGGACTCCAGGATCATGACCTGAGCTGAAGGCAGTCGCTTAACCAACTGAGCCACCCAGGCGCCCCCAGCGTAACCAATTTTCAGACCTGAAAAAAAGAGGTCACTAAAATGGATTCTAGGTCTTTTCCCTGCTAACGGGTAACTCCTATGATAGAGGTAGATGGGAAATTCCTTTTTTTTCCCAAATGTGAGGCGGAGATTGAGAGATTAATTAGCTCAGGTGCTGTCCTTAGAAAGCTCAGGGTCTGGCAGCTGACAAAGGCAGACAGGTAAGCAATTACAGTACAGGGTACCACTGAAGCAGTGTGGTGGCGACAACTCAGGGCACAGGTGAGGCTGGGGTGATGGGGACAGTAAAGGCTGAGAGTCTGCGTCAAGAGAGGCATTCCAGAAGAATGAGCCATCAAGGTGAGTTTTGCGGAACCGACAGGACTGGTTAGCTGAAACCAGGTAGAAACGGCAGGTACAAACACACCATGAAGGAGACAATATGGCGTGCTCGGAGAACGTACATGCTAGTGAACATAAAACCCTGGAGCTGGAGGCTTCCCCCGCCCCCCATTCCATCTTTTACCAAAACCTGAATTTAGCTCAGAAAGTCCAGGGGAAGGAAGAGGCCTCACGTAGCACGCATATCACTGGTGGTGTGTGTTCACCCACGACTTATCAGGAGGCCTACAGGTGACTGTGTGAAGACAAAAGTTATTCACAAGTCACAGCCAGTGGCCCAGGGTCAAACAGCAAGTACAACGTGAAAGATAAATAGAGAGAGAAACGACCCTGCAGATGCTTCGTTCTAGAATGCCCCATAGCTGAACAGGAGGCAGACAGCTCAGCATGGTCAGTAGACTGGGGGAGGTCTTTTCATGGGGAACTCTTTGGAAAGTTCAGTTAGTTCTTGGTCAAGTTCCCTTTCAAGTAGAATGATGAATTTTAAAAATTAGTTTGCAACAATACACAAATGCCTTCTTATAAAACATCCAATCATTAAGGACAAGACCAAGTTTTTCCTTCAACAACTTCCAGTTCCTGTCCCTCACTCCCTTCCCAGAGGCAAATTCCTTGATCGTTTTCAGTGGTATTTCATGTTGTTTTCTGTACATGTACATACATCTAACATGACAATGTTTAGATGAAAGCTATTTGTAATTCAGATTCAGTTACCAGAACATGTTTTTGAACATTGGAGCATCTGGAATGAACTCTCCGGCTAAAACTTAAAATTAGAAGAAAAAAAACTAAAAAAAAAAATATTTAAGCTAAAACCTTAAGAGGTAAACAAGTTTACATATACTTTAAAAATAACTCAACCTTGGTAAATTCTGAAAGAACTAATGACAAGATTTTTGTTTGGTAAACCAATGACTATGGAGAGTGGCAGGAACCACCGGGAGACATGGCATGGTCGAGAGTGTAGACTCTGGGTTGGGGGTGGGTGAAATCAGTGATGGGAGTAAGGACTGCAGGTGTTGTGATGAACACCGGGTGATGTATGGAGGTGTGAATCACTATATAGTACACCTGAAACGAATATAACACTGTAGGTTAATGAACTGGATTATAAAAAAACTTAAAAAAAAAAAGAGCGTAGACTCTAGTCAAACTGCCCGGGTTTGAATCCAGCCTCTACCACTTACTGAAGGTGAGACCGTGGGCAAATCCTTAACTCCCTGTGTCTCGAGTTTCCTTATCTTTAAGTAGAGAATAATGGGATGCCTGGCTGGCTCAGTCAGTAGAGCATGCGACTCTTGATCTCGAGATTGTGAGTTTGAGCCCCATGTGTTGCATAGAGTTTACTTAAAATAAATTAAAAAAAAAAAAAAAGACCACTAGGAGCGTCTTTTTTTTTTTAATATTTTATTTATTTATTCATTTGAGAGAGCAAGAATGAGAGAGAGAGAGAGAGAGAAAGCACATGAGAGGGGGGAGGGTCAGAGGGAGAAGCAGACTCCTTGCTGAGCAGGGAGCCTGATACAGGACTCGATCCCGGGACTCCAGGATCATGACCTGAGCCGAAGGCAGTCGCTTAACCAGCTGAGCCACCCAGGCGCCCCTAGGAGCATCTTTTTAAAAGAAAGAGAATAGCACCTACTTTATTAGGCTGTGGAAGAAATAAGTGAGTTAATAAATATAAACCACTTAAAACAATATCTGGCATGTTGTAACTACTCAAATATATAGCCTTTCTTTTTAGTAAGTGCTGGGCCAAGGTGTTGCATTTTTCAGGATTTTCAAGAGGCAACAGCCTTAGGAGGGATGAAGTAGCCACTAATGATATCTTTTTTCTTTTCTTTTTTTTTTTTAGTTCAAAATTCAGCAGTAAAATTAAATATGTCAATAGCTTATCAGAACTCAGTGGGCTGATCCCAATGGATTGCATCCATATTCCAGAGAGCATCATCAAGTAAGTCTGGATGGTTTCCAAGATTTGGTAAGAAATACTGCATGTTTGGAGAGGGAGGTTGGAAAAGAACTTATTTCTGGAATACTGGGGAAATGGCATTATCTTCTATTTAAAATGAATATTTAATATTTTCCAATAAATAGATATTTTCTCATAACCCATAGAGAACTGTTCTGTTCTTTCAGATCCTCTTTCACATAATCTTCTCTTGGGGTTATTGATTATTGCTCATTTCACCTTCAATTTTGCCACCATTTTGGGGACAGCGTGAAGTTAACATTAATCAGTGAATCTGTCACCTGTGTCTCCTGCTCTCACACAAACAGCTGGGTCTGAGCATAGCTTTGCTTTCCATATTGCCTTATAGAAAAGAACTTACCTGCATGACCCTGCAAAAAGACGGGGTCGGGGGGGACTACCTTTTCTCTTTTCTTCTACATCCTTTTTCATACAATTCCCTTCAGGTGAAAGGTAAGGCGGGTGGTAGGTGGCATGGTTAGAGATGACCCCCTTCCTCAGGACAGGGTAATGGAGCCACAGCCTGTGAAAACGGAGCATGGAGACTGAAGGTCGCTGAATCATGCTGCGAAAATAATGAGTAACAGTTAACACCGACCACTTGGAGCTGAGACTTAAAAATATGGATACTGACAAATGAACCCTCCTGCTTGGTTCACTGTTGCAAAGAACCATTGTTTTGTGGTTTGTGTGGATCGTGCTTTTCTTCCACTGTGTCTGATTCACTCATTTTTTTATTTGATTAAAAATGGGAGGAATTTAACCATTAGCTCAAAGAGAACAGACAAGGATAACTGCCCTTCCCCCCCGCCCCATCCCTTCCTCCATAAGACGGATAGCAAAATGGATCTCCCAATTTGCACTTCCAAAAAAGAGTCCCTTTACTAAAAAAAATAATAATAAATAAATAAATATTTTAAAAAAAGGAAAAGAAACAGGAAGGAAAGGACTCACGTTTAGTGGCAATACTTTGTCGGGGATAGACGTGCTTATTTATATCGTGTGTTTAATCTCCACAGTAAACCCCCATCTGCAGATCAGGGAAGCTAATAATAAAGAAAAGTTACTTATGCAAAGTGTAAGTAGGAGCAAGGATGAGATGGAACTAGAATTCAGATCCAGGTCAGCCTGGCACCAGAATTCCCATCCCCTTTTCTAGTAGTTTCCTTGACCTCCCTTAAAGTATCTATCTGAAGTCAAAGCTCAGGAGCAGATGCATTTGGTTTTCCTTGTGCTGATACGAGGTGAACACAGGATAGTGATTTGGCTCAGAACTGCCAGTTGGCTCAGCCGAATCAAGCAGTGTTTCTCTAATTCTAACTATGGCTTTGATCCTCATTAGCTTATGGGGCTCCCACACCCAGCATACCTCACAGCTCTATCCTGCTGCCTCAGGAAGGTGCATCCCTATCTCCAGAGCTACTCCTACTCTTTAAATAAAAAAAGTAACTGGAGGGGCACCTGGGTGGCTCAGTCGGTTAAGTGTCGGACTCTTGATCTCAGTTCAGGTCTTGATCTCAGGGTCATGAGAAAAAAAAAAGTGACTGGAGCACCCACCTCTTATAACCCTGTCTCATTTGCAAAAGATGACAAGGACATTCTCTCTTGAAAGGGAAATGGCCACTTTCTAGGCAATAGAGTAATGTTTCCATGGTGTGGCAGTTGGAAAAAGAGAAGGGAATGGGTGTTGGAAACTTAGCATGAGATTTGAATCTTCTTACCGTCCCCTGATGTCTCTAAGACTTCAGGCAACCTATTAAAACTTTCCATGTCTCAGCTGCAGCATCCAGAAAATGGGACGTGTTGGGGGCAATTCACAGAAAGGTCCCGAGGATTGAATGAAAACGTACATAATGCCTTCAGGAAGCCTCCCGGCCTCAGTTGGCAATCCAGAATGTTATTTATTATACTGATGTTGCTTTTAGGGACTAACATATGGGACCATTTAAATGAGAAGTTAAATATGTCCAGGGCACTTTTCATTCATTGACACCCATCATTTTTCAAAGGCTCCCATTCAGGAGAAGTTTCTTCGGAAGGAAGGGTTCCATTTGGAAGAAATTGACAACCATCTATGTCCTCCCCGTGTGTCCATGTTTTCTCCTGTCCTGTGCAACGCGTCTTCTCTGGATGTCCTTTCTGTCACTCCTGTTCCTGGCCCCCATTGTCTCATTTTCATGCTACGGCATTTTCAAATTGATACGAGCCATAGCCCCTTCCTGTTACTCAATGACATTCGGAGAGTCCGGTCTCAGCCAGTCCCAAGGCCAGTATTCAGCTGGGATGGAGCCTGTCATCAAAGGGCTTACATGAAAGAAAAACTTGTCCAATCTGGAATCAGATTTTTAATCATTGATTACAGTCAATTCTTGTTATTTGTGGCAGTGATGTTCTAGAACCCTGACTGGTAAATACTGAACCGTTGTTCCTAGGGGAAATACCGGGCTAAGTTCCTGCAAGCATCTGGTTAATTTTCTTTCGCCAGTTAATATATAACCTTGTTCTATGTGTGTTTCTGTTTAAAGACACCTTATCTGATGTATACTGTTGACTCACTAACATTGAATTCACGACCAATGGCACCATAACTCCTGCCTAAACAAAGCTGCTATAACACACATATATTCTCCGTAAGGCACATCACAGGCTTCTCGTGCTTAGGAACGCCAGCCCCCATGGAAGCACTATGCCTAGGGGCCATTTTAAATGGTGAAATCACCAACAAAAAGCACAAACCAGGGAAACATGGCACTAAATAGACTGCAAGTAGGACGCCTGTTGACAGCACGAAAGGTAAAACAAGGAGGCAGAGCCTTGTTTTTTCGACCTCAGCTGGGAACGTGCACATCAGGTGACTCAAATTTTTTGCCACTCAGTGAAAGTCAGCAAGTGACCACGAAAGTGCCACGGGTATTGATCCTGGGGTTACAGGTAAAGGTTTAATAAGTAGGCAAATTCGCAAACACAGATTCTGCAAATAATGAGGATTGGCTGTATATCATTACGAATTCTAAACCATTGATTATGTCAAATGAAAAATAAGTCTTCTCCCAAAAGGCAATTTGATTATTCTTGGGGCGGGTGAGGGGGGGTAGGCTTTTGATCTCATGTTTTGACTGTTCTTTAAACCACATACCTGTCATTTTCTCCATCTGTTTGCTCGTATTCCTCATTGCATTCATTTTTTATCTTGTAAGGTACGATGAAGAGAGATCTTATAAGAGAAGTGTGAGGTAAAATCTCCCGAGCTACAGTTCACGCTGGACCCTCTGTGTGTGTGCACCAATGTCTTACTTGTGGGTGACCTCAACATGCTACCAGAGCGCGAGGTCATTCTGTCAGCCCCTTGTAGTCTGCCATTCCGGGTCTTTGTCTTGTGTGTAAAGCTGTTGAGGTCAGCCTAATCTGCAACCAAAACCCACTCAACCAGATACACCCTTGACTTGGCCCAGGCTGCAAGCTAGCTCTAACCGAACCCAACAGACTGATGTGGATGTTTTTGGCTTTATTCAGCCCGCATGTTTCTGATCTCCTTGCAACTTGTATATCCACCTTTACGAAGGAATTTGCAAAGTAAACGTACAGAAACACCAAATGGGACGAAATGGCACCATGTCTAATCGAAGGAGCATGTCTCGATGCTCCAAAGGATGGTTTCTAAAAGCACATATGGTCCACTTATGTTTGGCTCCGCTTTGCTGGGTGACTCTCTCACGCTGTGCTTGCTTCTTTTTTGTTTCTTTTCTACACCGATAATTTTTGCTCATGCAGACTGGATGAAGAACTGAGGGAAGCATCAGAAGCAGCTAAGTAAGACTTGGTTTTCATTCAGCGGCTGGTGTGATGTTGGCTTGCACTGCAGGAATGAATTGGGAGGACCTGCATGCCTGGTGTTTTATTCTTGCATCCCAGTAATAATGCTGCACTTGAAATGTTCCCTTTGTCCCACGATAGATGCAATTTCTGGTATCCGTACTACAGTCTATTTATACAACCTGTGATCTTGGTTATCTTAAGGAACGCATTTGTTACTGTGGTTTCATTTTTTTTTTTTTTAACGTACATGCAGTTTTTGGCTCCACAGCCCAGGAATACATCACAGACATTGCCACATAGCATAACATCCTCATGATTGTTAGATATTTTGAGACAGCGAAAGCTCACTAATTCATACTAATTCAAAGCTCACTAATTCGAAATGATGACATGTCAAAATTTGGAATATTTTTGAGAACCCGTTTTGTGACTTTCCAAGATTTTTTTACGCATGTTATTTAGTGACTTGGAAATATTGCTTAACAAAATAATGCTTCTGAGCTATCTGGATGAATAGAAAAAGAATCATTACTCACTATTATTAAAGTATAATTTTCAAAAAAGCAGAACCTTAACTTTAATGCAACTATGAAATGCAACTAATTATTCAGTGAAGGAACTGGTGAAGTGTTAAAACCAGTTCAAAGAACGTTTGCAAAGCTAGATTTCATTGGGTGATTTATCAAGGAATGTTAGGATAAGATTATTGGTTTAGATACAAAATGAATCAGTGTCCCATAGGGCAATAAACTGTAACCTAGGATTATCTTTTCCACTGGACAGAAATTATTTGCATCTCTGTTTGACAAAAATGTACAAGTAACCTCTGCCCCTGAAGGGTTGTAAAATAGCCCATCAACAGAAAGTCAACTCAGCATTGCTTTGAAAGAAAATCCAGTAATTTCCTTTTCTTATTTCCAGGTCCAAAAACTAATTTTTCTGACATTATGCATTAAATGTAGACAAGTACTATTTGGAATGTTTACTATATTAAAGTTTCTTCTCCATTTTAAGTGTTGCTTACACTGTTAATTTCTATAACTAGTTCCCATTTTAGTAGATATCGCAAAAACAGAAACCTAGGCAATGTCCAAACAGCTACAAATTCTGAATAAATAAGGTTTTATTTTCTATATAAGTGTAAATGCCCATTCCTCCTGAGAACAGTCCACTGAGATATTTTTTTTTCCT